GGTGTGGGGTGTGGGGCTCTGGGTGGAATGGGGGCACCTGGTGTGGGGTGTGGGGCTCTGGGTGGAATGGGGGCACCTGGTGTGGGGTGTGGGGCCCTGGGTGGGGTGAGGGCAGTGGTGACAAAGGAATATCAGAGCACAGAGGGGAACTGATCTGACCAACTAGAACACTATATTGAGGATAATGGGAGTCACACTCTTTATCAGAAAGGGGTCACAGACAGGAAAAGGGAAAAAACCCTGAATTAATGGAAAGTACTGGTGTGAACCCACAGTTTCCAATATATGAGGGTAAGTCCAAAAGTACTGCAGTTCCAGTTCATACATGCACAGCTTTACTCCAAATACAACGTGCTTAAACATGTCTCTGTGGGTTACACACTGGGCTGCTGCTAACTGCAAGGTCGGCAGTTCGAATTTATCAGCAACCCCTCAGGAGCAAGAGGAAGCTTTCCACTCCCATCAAGATATACCTACACAAGGTCACTATGAGCAACTTGCGGCAGTAGGGACAGCAGTGGGCAGGTGCAGACAGCGGCGTCTTAGGGGGACCTGCTGAACCAGCTCAGTTCAAGGCAGATAGGTCAGCTCAGAAGGTTCTGGCGACTGCTGTTTGTGGACCTCAAAGGGTCATCCTGGTAGATATTCTTGAAGGACACATGACAACCACCAGTGCTTACTACAAAGGCTGAAAACGGCATCAGTGAGAAGAAGAGCAGAAGAGTTACAATGAAATGTTCTCTTCCATCACAGCTGCTCTGTGGAGGGCAGCCAAAGAATGATGGCAATGTGTCAAAAGGACACAGAAGCCAGTGTGAGGGTACTCCCACTGGTCTAATACGGATCAATGTGAGCATCAAAATCAACCACAAAAGTCACGATCCTAAGCCACTAAGAATAGGAAACTATGAGCCCACACTGATATAAATAAATGCAAGTGTTAAGAATGGAATATTTATATCAGTTCAAAATGTTTCCCAACAAAACAGTCACAAAGGGAGGAATTAAACTCTGCAGTGGAGAAGCTTACCCAAGCAAGCCAAGTGGCCAGCAGGGAGACACACGTGTCTACCTGGAGCAATGCTCCCATTGCTTCTGCGAGGTTGTTGCACCACCTGAAATGAATCCTGAGGACACAGCACATGGACCCAGATGAAGAGACATTCTGCAAAATAACTGACCTAGAATACTCAATGGTTCCAAGGAATGACTGAGCTACTCCTCCAGGCTGAGGAAGACTCAGGAGACACGGCAGCTAACCTGCTATGAGTGGCATCTTGAAGACACTGACAAGGGATGGATGGGGCCAGACTACGGTTTAGTGGAGAATGAGGTAGCAGCTAATTTCCTGATTCTGGGGCTGTGCTATACGTATAAAGGTAGAAATGCCCATTAAGTATTTCCTGGTACAACCAATCAGCAACTTACACTCATGGTTCCAGAGAAACAGGTTTTATACTAAGGTGCACATGGCCCACGCCATGATAGTCTCAAATGCCACACGTGCATGGAAAAGTTGGACTAGGGCTAAGGAAGACTGAAGAAGAACCCATGCTTTTGAATTACAGTCCTGCCAAAGAATATATCATGGGCTGCCAAGGAACAAACAAACCTGACTTGCAAGAAGTACAATCAGAATCCACCTTAGACGTCAGGATGGCGAGACTTTGTCTCACATATACTGGACACGATGGTGTGATACAGGCGGTACCAATGGGCTCACACACAGCACAGATGGTGCGGATGGGGCAGGACCGGGCAGCACTGTGTTCTCCTGGACACATGGACACTGTGAGTTGGAACCAACTGGATGACACCTAACAATTGTTCTTGTGACTTTTCTTAGTTTCAGAATGTTTCTAAGATATGCACACACACACAATCTCTGTTTGGCTTCAGTTGTCAACAATGCACTCAGGGGAAGAGATTTAAACCTTACAAGAAGGGGGAGGGAATGGTATGTCTTCTATTAGACCACTCTGTGCATGACTAGACCACATGCTTGGTCAAAAACATCATCTCAGCATCCAGCAGACAAGACTGACACCCCTCATTCTAAAAACAGACAGGATTCCTGCAAATTCAGAAAAGATTCATAATGACATCAGTCAGTTTCTGTTCAAGAGACCGCCAGTGTGTCTATGTGACATGCTAAAAATCGTGTTGCTGGAAAACGCAGAAAATATCCTGTATCTTTTCAGAATGGTGATTAATCACAATGTACGTGGGGGCTTCAAAAACCTGCGGAACAGTGGGACTAAAAGAGAATGAACGTGCCCCATGCTTTTTGAAGCCCTCTTATATTAAAAAGCCTTAAAATGAACATTTAAAAACTTGATTTGGTTAATTCAGTCACAGTAACATAAAGAGAGCATGCACGTGGCAGGCACTGTTAAGTAACCTGCACTAACTTATTTAACCCTCTCAACAAGCTTGCAGCTTTCAGATGAGGAGACTGAGGCCCAAGGTAGTTGAGCACTTTTCATGGGGTCAGTGGGTGGCAAAGCTGGGTGGGAACTCGGGGTGTGTGGCTCAAGGTCAGCCCTATAAAAAGGTAGGCAACAGTGCATTTTTTAAATCTCCCCTAGGGATTGCCCCAAAAAAATGCAAATCTGCAAGCATACAGTCACATCTTAGCAACA